TGTGCAAAGCAGTGTCTGGAACACCTGCGGTAATAGAACGCGCTCCGAAGAAGACACCCATGCCCTGATATTTACTAAGGTAGCAAGTGCTGGATCGAGGACGTGCCTTCAGCCGACTCTTGTGCGATTGCTGGCGCAAAGCTGATCCATCAATATACAACGGGTGATCAAGAAAGACCAGGTGACTCGACCTCTATGCTTGTGTAAGTGGCAGGTTTGGGGGACGCCGAGACGGTTAAAGTTGACCAGTTTACATCGCTGGCCTGCCTCTGGAGGTTACACACGCGCGGTGTGACAGGGCCTCCTGTCAGCCTCGAGAACCAGACGGATACAGGAATGAAAGGCGAATCAACATCCCGGGGGCGTAACCGCACCGCCGCCGGACGTGGTCCGAAGCGAAGTTGACAAAGGCGAGCTCCCCGCACCGGTGAAGTTTGAGCAACTCCCCGCACTTCGTGCTCCGTCGCGAGATGTTAGAAGTGCAAACCCAATTTGTAAGACGACTTTGTCACATATTGTGCGACCACTTGGATGGCGCGAATGTGATGCGATTGTGATCTTTGGGAGATGGATGCGGGGAGGCTGAGTTGTTCAAAGCGTAGAGAACCGTTCACATTGAGGTAGGTGATCCCCGCTCCACGTGCGAGAGAGCCGCCTTTCGATTTCGAGGTTGAAGTAGTCAGCTTCACAATTAAAACCTTGCTTTGTATTACTTTCAAGCGTCTGTAAGTGCTGGGAAGTGTGGGCGCTGGCCTCCGCGATTCCACGAGGTCACTAAGGGCGTGCCGAACGATTCGGAATACATCCACGCGGCAGGTTGCCGGTCCGGGAAAAGTATGTGTTTCGAATTGCTCTTTGACGATGTCCATCGATCAGATGGGGAATGGTGAAATTGCCAGCTCAACTCTCGATGTTGTCTTACCCTGGCCGTGGGACAGAGCAGGTCTAGATAGACGATGTGACCTTGATGCCGTCATGGTGGTGAGCCGGTCTTTCGAGTCAAGTCTTCACGTCGCAAGTTCCCAGGCGTCGAAGAGTCTGCAGAGTTTGCGAGACTCAAGCAGTGACATTGATTCAGGAACAGGAAATGATCGGCAGAGTCAAAGTCGTCTTTAGGTTTGTCTGCCAGTCATCCAATTGGGCGCAGGGAAAAGAAAGAGAACTGTTAAAAAATGGAGATGCTCAGGATGACCTGTCCATGCACCCGTTGCATGCGCAGACTGGGTTGTGGCGATGCGTTCGTTGTAGACGACAGTCCCAGGGCATGAACGAGCCTTTGCTTGACTTGTGTCATTCGTATCCCAGTACGAACCGCCGAGGCTGAGCAAAGTTGCGACTCAGCCCAGAATAGAGGCAGTCGGAATCTAACTAATCATCAGTCCAACCGGTCAGCTGCTCCAGCAGAAGCGGCGCATAGTAATAAGGGCAAGTGGTGCCGGCGTTTCGCTGATGGTCGCACAAAGGATCTGGCGCCATTGCATCTCTTGGAGGCTCCTAGAAGCGGTACCAACAGCGAACCGCAGCGGCGGCTCAGTAGAAGCTTCCGGGGAGTTTGTGTCTGGCCCGCTGGCAACAGTGAAGCCACAGCATTTCGATGTCGGCTGTCTAGCATCCCGAAGCTCTGACTTTGCAGGGCATGGGTACTCTGTCGGCGCATCGCCCGCATCGAGTAACTCGCCGGTTCCATTGGAGGGGGCGAAATCAGTCCACTCTCCAATATTCTTTCTTTTCCGCAAAGAATCGTGACAAGCCCTTCCACTCAGTCCTTTCAATTGACTCGGGACGGCACACAATGGAGCCGCGACGAACTGGTAGGGGATGTGTGGACACGGCGACCGAGCAAAGGAAAATTTCGTGTCCGCTGTACGGATAGGTCCTGAGCGTCAGAGCCTGAACAAGGCATTTTCTGGGTTGGGCTGTGGGAGAGTGTGGGTTCAGATGACGCAACCGAGGCTCTTAGTCATTCGGATGAAAGTTGCAAGCAAGGCCCAGTGGTTCCAGCTGGAAGACTTTGAAGACCCAAGCATCGACATCGTGGAGTGATACGGGGAAGGCTGTGAAGAAAACCCACTTGCGATCAACGGCCAAGTTCTCCTCACAGTGCGTTCGAGAGTGCGCGCTGGGATGCTCCTAGACTGCTTATGCAACTCTGTTATGACAACCACTGCCAAACAAACAGTGATCAGACAGTGACGGTGTTTGTTGTGATGCACTGACCTATTCCTAGACGGTGACAATTGCTGCGGGGTGGCGCTCTCTCCACCTTTCGTTAATGGTGGGCACTCCAAAAGAGACCACTTCAGACTTCCTTGCAGAGACCTCTGCGATATCGCAAGTTGCAAGAAATCGCCGTGGTAGCAGTCGTTGCTTTGACCTCCGGCGTTCAATTCAAGATCACGGAACCAGGGAGCAACTCCGTTCAAGTCGACGATGGGTGTCCCTTGCAGCCTGGGGGCTGTGATCCGAGGCGAGATAGCAACACGTTATTTGTCAATTGGGGGTAGCCTGTGGCTCGCCAGGCTCACCTTGATCAACTTCCACTGTTGATTCCATGGCCGAATTGACTTGATTGCACCCATTGCCTGCGCAGCTCTCATCGAGATCCCGCTCATAATGTTTTGCTCGGCTCATATGTCGATCAGCTCCATATGCGTAAACCGGCTGTGTTGATCTGCTCGGTTCAACAGATGGCCCAGGCTTCTCGGGGTAGAGAATGACGTTCGCCAGCCAGTTAGAGCAAATGATTAGAGAGAGGCGTCTGGAGTCATCGAAAGATCCTCCAGAAAAAAACCTCCGAATGGCCAATCAAGCCCAGTTGAAGATGCCCATGCAATGGCACATGCGAAAAAGTTGATCCTGCAGCTGAGCAAGACCGACCGCAATTCAGTCCTTTGCCTCGGCGTTAGGTGTCGCTTGCTGTCGCCCAGAGATTCCGCCCCCAAATTTTCATCGTATGGTTCCATTACATTCCATCGGCTCCCATCCACTGGGACCGGCAACTAGCCCCCAGCAGGAAGGAGACGTCCACCTTCCTTGACACCCACGCCACAGCGTTGCGTTGCCCACCAACCTGGAACAAGCCCGTGGACAGGGCAAACCAGAACAGCATCGCAAGGACAACGGCGACAATGAAGAAGGCCGATGATGGCTAAAGTGGCCGGGAAACTCAAAGACCGAAAGTGGAATGAGGGGCCGCCGGGGCTTTTCCGCTTGCGACGGAGCTCACGAGAGACTGAGTGGCTAGCGGTCGAACCAGCAGTATCAAAGTCTGACAGGACGCGACCTCTAAAGCCGGCCTCTTCCTTTTCTCGACGGTGGGGCTACCAAGGCCGACGTCGCCGGAACCAGACTAAGGGCTCAACGGCGGATGTCATGGGACTTTGAAAGTTGCCGCTGTCTGTGTCGACCGTAGTGAAGGCTGAAATCTGGCGACATCCATAGCGAACTTGCAAAGACTCGTCGCTCGTTGGTTCAATGCTGGACTTCGTGCCCGTTTCTGCTGTCATTGTCGCTAGCAGCATGGGCCACTCTTACCTAGTAAGCTGTGGAGCTCCTCATTGGCGACTCGTCAGCTCTTCCTACTGGCCGGGGAAGCAAACCGAGGCCTGTTCCCTGTGGGGGTTCAGAACCCAGGCAAACGGTCCAAATTCCGACCGCAAACCTGGGTCTTTCCGACTCATTGAAGAGAAAGCCAGGGCAGGGCTCACCGATGTGTCCGGATTTTGAGACCGACATCCACATACTGCATACTGATCCTGCCAAACTGCAGAGCTGGAGGCAATTCAATGCACCGCACCGATCATTGAGAACTTGAGATGGCAGCGCGAAGCGTATCATGTAGACCAAGCAGCTGATGCCCGTTTTGTTTTGTTGCAGGTTTGGTTTTCGGATGGCATGGCATTGAGTTTGCCCACCACCAAGAGTTCGGCAGGGAGCTCCAGGCGAGCGACGGTTCGTTCGGACGGGGTGCACCGTTTGGCGGAAGGCATTCGCAGGCAAGTTGGCAGCGACCTTGGTAATCCGTCATCGGGCAGTGAGCTCTGCAACGGCTTACTGGCGATGCATAAGTTATGCACTACCTCGTGGGTTGTGCAGCTCCGCCGGTCCGGCGGGCAGACCCATCAGCAGCCGCCATGTCCATGTCCACCGGGCTCTTGGAGCTGGTCCCAGAACCGGCAGAGCGTGAGGTCCATCCAAGTGGAGAGAAGACCAGCCCAGAACACTGAGCGACCCAGCACAAGATGCGGTGCTGGGATACGTATCCCCGACGGTCGAAAGTAGTGCACGGCGCATCGCCCAACGCTGCCGGGGCGTTGGAAGAGGTTGCTGTCGGCTCTGTTGTCAGTGGCTGGCACCGCGCGAACGTCTCCCGAAAACCCTGCCCGCCACGGCTCACGGTCTACGGGGATCGAAATCCGAGCAAGGATGAGGTGGAAAAACACAAGGGGGGAGAAGACGCTTGGCCGCTTTCGTGGCCCCGGTCGAAGCACCCAGAGAGGGAAAAAAACGTTGAACCTGAACCTGGCACCCTGGGCAGCTGTCTGGGTGCAAGGGAGAGCAAGGTGCCAACCGAGCTGTAATCCCTGGACTCCGCGAGGGAAACGAAACGGACTTTGGGTTAGCGTCTACGGAGACGGAGAGGCGGTGCGATAGCGACAATCAAGAGCAAATGGCGGAGAGGGCCGAAGGCAATGCCAACGAGGGAGACGGGAGGGTGCAGCTGGAGGGTTTTGCAGACATGTAAGGCAAGGTAAGATGCGTGAGGCAGGTTGAGTTGGCGGCCGTGGTGGTGGTCGAGTGACGATGGCGCTTGGAGTTGTGTTCGTTGCTGACGATGAGGAAAGAGGGAGGAGGGAGGAGCCGGAGGACGGGAGAAGCCTTAGGCAACGTGAGAATGACGAACGAACGCCTGCGAATACGGACTCCCGTCCGAAGACCTAGGTAAGGTACCTATCTACGAATACCTACCTGGTTTATAAGGCAAGAGTGACTGACGAAACCGAGCCTGCCTGCCTCTTGCTCTTTCCTGCCTCCCGTCCATTTTGGGTGGTCGCTCCTGCCAATTGCGCAACGCTGGGAACAGGCCCAAAAGAAGATGGGGAAAGAACGGGCCAGGCATTGGGCAGCCCTGAACCCTGCGCTGTTGCCGTTTGCCCACGCTCCCTCTGCTGCTGCTGCTGCTGCTGCACGCACGCACCTGCCTTTCTTTTTTGTTCGCTGCTGTTGCTGCGGTCTGCCTGCTGCTTTCTGCACTCTGCACGTTGCACCTTCCGCGACCAATGGTGGCCGTCCCTGCTGCTGCAGCAGCGTTGCCGTTGCCGTTGCTGGAAACTGGAAAGCCGCGCCCAGCAGCAGATGCATCTGAGGGTGTGCCGTGTCCAAGATTGTCCTGCAGAAAAGACGGTCGGTTGGGTGCTGGACCTAACGTCCTCATTGATTGACGGGTGAATCTCCCGGCAGGATAATGTCTGAGAAGCCCTGCCAGTGGCATCATCCTGCTTCCTGCTTGCCGTGTGCCAAATGACGGTGCCGTTTGAAGCAAGTCCGGCATCTTGATGACTGCCCTCTGTGCTCTCCAGACGGCGTCATCGTGTAAGGCAATTGGATGGCACACCTGGACATGGGCGAATACGTACTTGATGGCTTTCAAGTACCTAGGTGCTTTACTGGCCCTACGTGCTTCAACCAATGTCCCTCGCTGTATTTCGTGCAACTAGCAAAAGAGTAGTCAGATGCGAGTCAAACTAGCTGTGTGCACCGCGTTCTGCCGTGCGGTTGGCAGAGCAGTGACGCACACCAGCTGGCTTGAGAATCGCCTCGTTGCAGAGCTACGGGCAGCCATTGATCTGAAGCTCAAACAGCACGGAGCAGGTTGAGCCGACAACCAACCCACCCCGCGGCGGGCCAGAGACATTTCACAACTCAAGTCATGCTGACGCTGACACTGTCTTGATCCGTTGCGGTCGTGTCTTGAACGTCGGAACCGGAGTCAGCCCCAGGGAAAGACAACGGCGTCGTTGTCGTTGTCGGGCGTTCTTGGTCCACCACCGAGTGCCGTCCGAGTCTCTAAGTCTCCGTCTATCCTTGGCTTCTGAAAATTCCGTCCCCCAGAGAATGACGGTAAAGACGGATGGAGGTACGCTACGTACAAAGCGCCTGTCCCCATCGCACATGGGTTCCCTAAAAAGACGCTCGACACGGACAAGGGAACGTGGCTGCGGCACAACGCACCGCGCAGACCCTGAACGGCTTGGGCCCTCTTGTCTCCTCGGGAAAGACCCAGAGGGCAGCGAGTGACTCGGCGGCACTGGATGGAGGCAGACTGTCGGTCACAGAGAAAGACATGGCTCTCGTTCGTGGACTCTTGGGGAGGAGGAGCCTGGGAGGGGGGGAAACTCCAGCGGTCCAGCGCTCGTCGTGGGCCTCCTCCACTCTCCTCCACACTGCGCCTACCGCTTGGTCGGCGGCGCACACGGACCATCAGGAAGAGGCTTAAGCTATCTTGGGCCTAGGAGGTTGCAGAAGGTTGTCTGGCAAGCTTAACGGAAGAGGGGGCCAAAATAAAGAGCCTGCTTCTTTTCTTCTTTGCTTCTGAGACAGCCGAGGCGGCGGCGGCGGCGGCGGCGGCGGATCATGAGGGAGGAGGGACGACTCTCAGCTAAACAAAGAAAAATAACAAACAGAAGAGGCTTGCGCCAGTGCAACAGCAGGAGCCCTCTCTCTCGCACTTTGCATTCGTTTCCGAGCTCCCCGAAGCCGCGGCCTCGAGTTTCCTTCTGCTTCGTATGCAGCTGTCGTCAATGGGGCGGAATGGACTACCAACGGACATGGACATGACTTGAAACTGTGCCCATTTCATTGTCTACGACGTTGGAAGCTGAAGCAAATGACTCCACGTCCCTTGTTCTTCGCCCGTTGCCGTTGACGTCGCCCGCCCGCCGCCGCTCTGTCCATCGGCTTGGCTTGAAGCTGGACTGCTGCTGTCCTTCTTTCATCTCCCTCGCCTCATCCTGCCGGCCGAGTGCGGGTTCTCTTCATCTTGCCTTTTTGCAGAGTGTGTCATGTCGTGGGATTGAGGGAACATTGGGGGACGGTAGTGTCGTCGGGCTAGTTTGGCGCGTAAAGAAGTTCGAGTATCCGGTACGGATACTTGGGTACCTCGCCTCAAGCAACCTTGGGCTGGACAGGACTGGGATGATGGGTCTCGTCACTCTGCTGCTTGTACCGTTGTACCTTGCCTTCCAGCGTCCCATTACCCGGGCCAGAAGGAAAGAAAAAAAAAAAATCATCGCAGGATGCAGGAAAAAGAAAGAAAGACCAAGGGGATGGGGGCATGTGCCGCTGTCCACTCCAAAATGGAAAGCTGCTGCCGCTGCACGGCGAACGCAATGTGCCTTCCCAGTTTTACATAGGCAAGTACGTGACCCTGCGGTGCCTGCCTTCCATCAACAACGTGCCTTCCTTCCCTCCTTACCAATCTGCTGCCAAATGGCAACTACGAATACACTACGTATTCCATCGTCAACCGAATATTAGAATGGGCAGTCTATCGCTCCTCCCCCGATCCATGTCATGTCCCGCGCAGTGTGCAGTGTATGTATGTACTTCCATTGGTATCTTCACTAGCACCCAGCAGCACCTCACTCTGCCCCGTCTCCATTCTGCCTTCCCCCAAAGGCTAGCTTCGTTAGGCTGCGGTTTTCAGCAAGGTTTCCCATCAAGCCTTTTTTTTTTTTTTTCTTCCCATCCTAGCTCCCGGCCTTCATCCACACAAGAGAGAGTCCAATCCACCAGCACCAGCGGTACAGCGGTCCAGCACCATCCACATCCACACCCGCGCCCACCACACCCCCGGTCCCTTCCTCTGTTGTTGTTTCCTAGGTACCTTACCACGTCCACACCCCCCTGCCCGCACTTCGCTCGGTGTCTTCCCACCAACGAGCCCACATCCACCACGCTCAACTCGGCCGCCCACCCCCCTGTCCACCAGCTCACACCCTTGCCCCGTCTACCCTTCCTGCTTTTTTGGCTACGCTCGTCCAGACATTTTCCTCGCCCACCCTCCTTGCGCTGCAAAACCATTTGGGAACCCTCTTCCCGCCGTCCAGTCTTTCCCGTCGTCTCTTCTCTTACAGCAGCATTCCTAGCAAGACGTCGCCAACCGCCAGCCCGCCGCCAGTCGACCGACCTCTTTTCCTTGCTGCTGCCGTCCAACCCAGCAACCACCACGCCCACGTCTCATATATCGTCGTCGTCGTCGACCTACCGCCTCCCGCTTCCGGAATCTGCCTCCGTCGCGAACTGCCTTTCCGCACCCCGTCAACCGCTGTCATTCCCCTCACGTGTCTATCCTGCAGCAAGACCCGGAGCTACCAGCGAAACTGTCGCATTTGGTCCCGCGCACTCCCGTTTGATTGGAAGAGGACGACTCTGCACTGAAGGAAACAACAACGCACGCATATACATACTTAGTCTTGCCCGCCCCCCCAGTACAAGCACATCCGCGCCCAACCACCACGACCCAAACCGCCGAGGTACCCTGCACCCAAATCGTACACGTGGGACGAGTCACCGCCATATACACAAACGGTCGCTTGCACCTTCGAACCGCATCATTGGAGAACCCCAGGAGACTTTCTCAGCTTTCTCACGCAGTCACCGGCCACGGCCATCACCAACCCCGGAGGTTAACCTTGAAACATCACACCGACACGTTCTGTGGAAAAAGAGAGGAAATTTGGAAACCAGACCGTCTCGGAGAATGTGGAGGTAGAGAACCGGTTCGCAGGAAACACCCAAAGCGGCGTCAGCAACAATAGAGTACTTACATCCCGTCACAACTCCAACACCCCACGAAAACCACGGCAACCTTACACAACTTCACCAACAACTACATGACGGATGTGTGCCTGGCAATGACAGAAGACTAAAATCGAGCACCACATCTTTGCCCGATCTCACAGCCACCGCAGTGTCTATTTTTTTAATCCTCCGCCTACCCCACCACGTCTGCCAGGGTACAACAACACAGCGGCTCCAGCATCGTCATACTCGCTGGGTCTCCCCAACCGCCACCCCAAATCCTGACCATTGCCACCCATTGCTCCAACAACAACATCACCAGCAAGCACCTCCACCACCGCACGCCTTTCTCAAACGCATCTCTCTGCTTCGGCGGGGCAGCCCCAGGCCACGGCAGACAAAATGTCGCCCAGACTCAAGCCTTTACTCCTCCCTCAGCTTGTAGAAGAGCGCCGGAAGTTCGAGGAACAGCACCCCGATCTTGCGGAAGCCGAAATGGACCACCAGTATGTTTACTACACAACAAACTCGTCATCTTCCGACGTCGCGTCTCCGGTCACGCCAACGTTCTCGACCCGCGGACATCTCCGCTACTCAAGCTCTACATCTTCAATTGACCTCCCGCCAACCTGCTGCAATGACAGCCCGGCATCACCAACGTCAACCTCCCACTCCAAGTCCTCCAAGCGCCCTCTTCCGGATGTGCAAGAGGAGCCTGTGGAACGCGATGAGCTTGACGAAAGCACAATTCTAGCTGAGCAGTTTGACCTCTACGACTGTTTGTGTAAGTTGTTGGCCTATGCCTCATGAGCAAACGGGCGTCTGCTAACACTGCGGGATAGGCGACGAGCCATGCATCCACCACGGTTACGAGAGCGCCGAGACGCTCCACAGTGTCTACCCTGCCGACTTCGACATTGACTATGACTTGGGCTTTGGAAGCGACACCGATTATTCTTCAACCTTGGAGAGGAAGCGAACGGGAACCGAATCGCCATTCTCTGGCTTGGCTACCCGCATCGGAACCCGCTTTCCTCAACTGTCTCGTTGGAAGTCTACGAAGCGGTCGCAATTGACTGCCTCCCCAACGACTGAGCTGACGTTTGAGACTGCTCACCCTGTCACCTCTAGGGCTGCGTCGAGCCGATCGTCTTCACTCTCTGGCCCCTCCCGCCACATGAACGAGCCCTCGATCCCTACCCCTGCGACTTCGTTTTGGGAAAGCAGCGAGAGCGTAGATGGTCCCGCTCCCATTGACATCGAGAAGGCCAACGAGAGGGAAAGCATTGAACGCGACCGGGCACTGGCTTCGACACCTCTCCTTCCTCCTCTTCTCAACACGCCTCCAACCGAAGCCCCGCAGCCTAGCCCTCTTCAGTCTCCCACAGTCGCACCAACCATCTTGTCCATGGACGTTCCCTCAACTCAGTCATTGGCCCACGTTGTGACACCCTCTCTCAGCACGAGGCCGTCGGTCTCCTCTTTCCGCCACGCTCAGTCAAGTCAGGAATTGCCCATTGGCTTCCCATCCATCTTGCAAGACCACGATGAGTGGTCAGACCGGCTTGGTCACGCGAACTTTAGCATTGCACCTCAACCATACGAACCTGAAGAGGCCAACATGGAGTCCCTCCGTCTTCTGCGCGCCGACTGGGAAGCCGCTCGTGTTAACTACACCAAGCACCTCGTCCGAACCGGCGAGAACTATGGCGAGACCTCCAAGATCTACGCCCTCACTGAGGCAAAGTG